AGAAGTACGTCTTATCGTTATCGTTACCTTGGCTTTAAGCATTTTGCTTACCCAATTATTATTATTATTATTATTATTATTATTATTACTGCATTCTCCCCTTTACTTATGTCTTATATTCTCATTGTTTTATTCGTGAATATTCATCATATCACCATATTTATTTTTACAACTCAATGACCTTTAATTATTATGACAATAACATTTGAATCATTTTAATCATCTTATTATATTCACTAAATCTATTGTTATTGTTATTATTCATATTACGTAATCTAGTATTATAACCCTTTTTCTTTATTAACTGTGTTCACATTTCCTCACGGAATTAGTACTTTTACAAAAAACAAAAGAATTTCATATATATACGATTGTACAGCTTGATAATAAATTCGTTGAAAAGAGATCCCTTCGCTGAAATTCGTGTTTTAATTCTAATGTTTAAATGGGAATTATCTGTCAATACTATAATATCCACAAAACCCCACTATGATGATAATATTCACTTTGTTGACTAACTTTCCCTATCCTCTAGTTAGTGTTCAGTATGTTATTTATGTCGCTCCTTTTCCCTGTTTAATGGACTGTATTGTTTATTTTGTATACTAACAGTGTTAATTTACGTTTTAGAAACAGATAAAGTTTATCGAGCCAAGTAGCTTAGTTGTTTTGACTTTGTCTAAGCTAAGACTCTGTGCTCGACAGTCTAGAGAATAATTCAGAATTACACCTGTAGGAAATTACTTCCTACAAACATTTAAATGAATTCAGTTTGATAGGTGAAAAAAATGAAGAAAGAAGTTAAGATAGAAGTAACAATGTTATTTTTAGTAATTACTATTATCAAAATAGTAATTATGGCTCATCGCAATTCATTAGTTAGGATGAAAGGGGGAAATTAAATGCACGAATTATTGCTAAAATCATAAAATGTTAAAGGTGAAAATATTGACATTTTATTTAAAAGCGACACTAAATAGAGTACAGTTTAAAAAATAAGGAAAATATACTGTTCAGTTGAATGGAATGCTGACGGCAATCTTTTTCCAGGTTTTGTATGACAAAGTAGCACCATTTATTTCATAAGGGAAAATAACATTTGATCGGTGGTAACAACGCACATAATTGTTTGTTCAGAAAAAAGCAAACGAGCATTTCAGAAAATGTAAACTTGGCACTTTTGAGATCGTAGTTCTGTTGATTGAAAAAAAGTTTCAATTGGTTTATTTGTAGGTATTTTTACAAAACTATCAATGCTCTAGCTATGGATAACTTTTATTACTCTTAGAGTATTCCAGTGCAGTATTGACAAAATAGTTATAAAAGACTTTTTCCCCCGATATTGTTAGAATGCAACCATAAGTACTGCACAACATGATATCGGGTTATTATTTAATGGTCAGTTGGTTCAACTATTCCTGTACTAAAACGGTTTGTTATGGCCCGGATAACTCACTTGTAACGTCTTTGACACCGGTTAGCACTAGTCTGAATTCTTCTAATAGTATTAGTGTCTTCAGATACACCTGACTAATTTGAGTCAAATATCTCAGAAACTAACTCCAGGGCTTTGGACCGATGACTTCAAACTACGTATAAGATAATATCTGTGTAAGTAATGTAGGGTATGGAAAAATCAGACATAGAAAAGCAAATTAATTTTCGTTATAGTACGAGAAAAAGGAACAAGCTTGGTTATACCGAAAAAACATCCTACCAATTAAGGATTCAAATAAGCCATGATGGAGTACTGACTTAATGTTATTGCTAAGTGAATTCTGTTTCTCAAGGCGATTACATAATTCATGAGTTAGTTCACCTATGCATTATCTGAATTTAAATATATTCCCTTATTTAGATCTTAGCGCTTTAAATGTCCAGACAAACGATCAGGCCTAAATAACAGCATCTCCGATGTTGCAGGCGAATTCATAGTTTTTAGGTTTTCTCGTATATAAGGAAGTTGGGTTAATAATATGAAAAACAGAGACTTAGGACGTTCACTTGTTGATTTTCTTAAAACCTCAATAAGATTATTTTTGGCTTGATAACACACTAGTGAATAATTATTTAATTAAAGGTGGGTTCTTTTACGGAATGATATAAGTCTGATGAGTTGAAAAACTCTGAACATTCATTTCTTTCCGTTTTACAACTAACAAGAGTAACATTATTGTACGCTGTATTTAACGTTAGATGGTCGAGTATAGTTCATGAAAAGCAGTAGATCAAAGTTTTATTTAGGTCAAATCTCCTTAGCAAGGCGCATCTGGAATACTAAGGAACGCAATGTACCATAATCACAAGTCATTTAACATTGCGACAGTAAACAAAGCCGACGGAATTTAATCATGTAAACGACACGAAATTAACTATTGATCAGTGACTAATGATTTTGTAATTCACAATCATTCAGAAGGTCACTACTAGTTAGAATTGCTGAATGTTAATGTCTGTGATTCTGGCTTAGGTCTCCAAAGGAGCATCATTCCCTTGAATTTGGACATAGATCCGGATAATGAGTCCTAACCAGCAGTTAATTTGTCAAGTTGCAGAACACTGTGAAATCCAAGGTGGTGCTATCATTTGTTGATTTTAGTCTTTCAAAAACTTTTAAAATTATTCAGACCCATTTGTTTATTAGGATATGTGACACAATTTTGGAGACATACTTCTCACAAATATCACTAATATTAATGATTAGGAATGAAGAAAAGAAATTAGTAATAAAATCTACCAAGTTTTATTCCTAAGTATCTATGACCAAATTTAAACATCTTACAATTACATACAAACACATTTTTACAACTAGGAACGTAATTAAATAAATGTTACGTTATTTATTATTTATAATAAGAATTTGAACTTACCGGAAGTTTTTGAGATCACATGACAAGTTTCATTTGAAGTAAACATAAAATTTCAAAGTTGTTGATATTTTCAGAAAAAACCTAATATCATTGAAATAATGTATTAGCAAACTGGTGAAGAAATATATATTGCGCCTGAAATTGATGTAAAACAACAGAGAACAGTCATTTTTCTATAGATTGTCTGATATTAAGTCAGCTTGATATCCACAATTAACACAAACTAGAAAACCAATAAAAACACGAAAATATTAAATTGTTGTTTCGTCCTAAGTTGAAACTCTTCAACAGTGCAATTCACTGAGGGTAGAATCTCAGGTTCGTCACTAGTGATTAATTTTGGAACGATTTCATATGCAGAAGATATTATTGATGGAATACATTCCCGATGACAGCCAGTTAGATATAACCTAATAATATTGTGCAATGATTGACTTTCAAAGATATAGACAACTATATTGTGACTTAATGATTTAACAGCATCGTGTTAGCTGCGGTGGTTCCATGTACTGGATTCGATGCCATATGGGTGCATGAGTTTATTTATTTATTTAAGTACATGATATTAGCCCCAAATGAGCACCAAAACAAATGCATGCCATAAAATAAGGAGATGCGATTGTGAAGGGGTAAAGAATGGAGGATGTGTATAACGCAAAAGAATAAATGAATAAAAGTACGTTAAGAGTCGCATATAAAACAGTTCAGTTTAAAAATATATATATAACCAAGAAAAATCCCTTCAGTTAGAGAATATCATTCTAATTTAGAAAGAAGTAAAACGAAATTACGACAAGATCGCCACTAGCTTTTATTTTCAGGTGTGAGCGACATCTCGGAACCCAACCAGAGAATTCTGAAAAACCGATAGATGTCATTCCTGTACAATTCCCTTGCATACTGCACAAAAGTGTAACAAACTCATTAACTTTCCCCTTTTGCCAACCAGTCGAAGAATCGGAAAATAATGCACGATGTGCAATTCTCTGGGACAACATCCGTAACACAAAAGATGGTGGCACCAATTTCATCACTGTCACTGTGCCTGAACACATGCTTCTGAACCTCTGCATTTCTAACATGGCGTTATCACTGAATGTCGGCAATCCTTCATAGACAATGATAATTAAACGCGGATAGTCGCTTAACATTTTCAGCTGGAAAATGACAGGTTTCGCAAGCATGGAACGAAACCGCTCTCACCGACGCATTGTAAATCTGTCCTTTTACAGCCAGAATTATATAATGAGGGAATCAAACATGGCCTAGATTGGCATAAGCCTCTCTAACTTTCACTATACGCATAATGATCTCATCACTCACGTTACCACACGCACTCAACCAGGTACCCAGATAAACAAACTTTTCGACTAGTTCTAAAAGCTCATCAAAAACATTGAGTATAGGTACAGACCACTATCAGTCTTGTAAAAGCACCTTGGACTTAGAAGGTACAAACTACGTGCCAAGCCTACGGACGCTCATCGCCAACTGAATAAGTGTGCATTTCACAACTTAAGTATCACCCACAGTAAGAAAAAATCATCCGCATACTCAGGTCTGAAAGATCTTTCCTCAGGTGACAGAAACACACCAGCATAGCCCAATTTTATCAGAGATGTTCCTAGGGTATCATCGATGGCAAGGTTAAAGAAGAGTAGTGAGAATAAGCGACTTTAACATATGGTGAGTTTTACCAAGGGAGAGAAGTGGCTTTATACTAAGGTATTTGTATACAGTGCTTAAGATGTTAGTAAGCTTTTCAGGCACTCTTTTCTTCAGCAGACAACCCCAGAGTACGATCCTGTCCAACAAATCAAATTTGACACCGCTGACGAGTACTACACTAGCGTAAAGTATCTATCTACTTTCCCTAAGCTTTCATCATTTGTACAACTTCTTTCTTGTGTGAGAAGCAACTTGGTTAAAAGTGGTGATTGTCCAAGCGTGTCACAGACATCAAAACATTTCCGTAATGCTGGCTACAGGATTCACTTCAATAGTTAATGGATCCCGTTGCAAAACTACATTTCTTATAACAAGATAAGCATTAATATTTTTTATGCAGTCTATCGGAACATACGAGGAAAACGTCTTGTGCAACCAAGCTTCGCATTGTCCCTTCCAGCCGTCAAATAATTCCTAAATGTGTCAAACAACAAACTCTCGCATTGGGCCACACCAATGTGTATTTATAAGTTCACTGGCTCATGTAAAGGAGGTTGCATAAGTCACACAATGCAAGCGCTTTCCAAACGCATGTTTGAACATTATTTCGGCTTTCTTTTGAAAGGTAAATGTAAGTCAATCAAGAGCTCAATATTAGAACATCTTGTGAACTCCAGTCACATTGTGGTGCGTGCTACTTATATTGATATAAGTAGTATATAACGTGAGTCAAAAGAACGCAATGTCTGGCAGCAGAAGATGGAGAAGATCAATAAGAGAAGAGCGAGAAAACAATGGAATTTGTAAGAAATCGCATGAACAATGAAATGCGAGACAATGGATATGATAGAATGATATTTTGCAAATTAACGATTTACTATATAGTTTTTCTATTTTACCAAGTAATTCTGTAATTTGCCCTAAATACAATTTGGCTGTCCTCAGCCGTGTTCTTCTTCACTACAACATGACCTTACCTGATAACCACGTTAAACCTGTCTATACAGTCAGATGATTTAGTTCAAAAGGAGTGAAAATTAATAACCTTTGCACTTCAGAGGCCTTAGTAAAACAATATTTTCAAACCTGGAATCTGTTTGCGAACGATTAAATACCTAATTAGATAGTTCTTTATAAATGCCTGCACTTTTTTGATGATGTTTGTAGTAGTTTTACAAGCTACAGCTCCGTACAAAAAAACTGTCTTGACGTTTGTGTTGAAAATTATAATTTTGTTATTGACTGAGAGTTATTTTGAGTTCCAGATGTTCTTCAATTGCAGGAATGATGAACCCTATTTTGCCAATCAGTGCCTTCACATCTGCATCAGATCGTCCGTGCCTATCAATGATGCTGACCAGTTATGTAAGTTCCCACCTCTTCCACGGCTTCTCCATCAAGTATGATTTCCTTTGTGTATGTTGAGGCCTGCTGATGCAGAGGCTTCTGCTACACTGGTTGTCTTGATCTGCATTTGTTCGTGTGAATGGGATAGAAAAGCCAGATCATCTGCAAAGTCGGAATCGTCTAGTTGTATCCAAGCTGTCCATTGTATTCCGTGCTTTCTCTCAGATGTAGAGGTCTTCATAATTCCATCAACTATTCCAACAAAAGAGAGAGTAAGTAGTCTTGCCTGACATCGATATTCATTGGGAATGCATCTATCAGTTGACTGCCACACACAACTTTGCCGTGGGGTCTGTCGTAAGAATTTCGTATGATAGTGACAATTTTCTCAGGTAAGTCATGGCGCTAACGCATAATTTTGGTAAATAGTAGTTCGATTTTATTATGTCCTGCTAATGTTTTAATCTTCTTGACTTTAATTATTTGTTATTATTACCTTGACGTTTTTACTTTATTCTTCGCCCTTTTCATATTCATCAAGTGGACGATTATTTTTCTCACACCCGATTTCACCTTATTATTTCTATTGTTCGCTGAACTGTCTACTATCATCGAGGGTTATGCTTGAATCCTAGTGATCATAACATCACATTGGAACACTAGGAATCCAGCTGGAATCTAATAGCCAACGATCAAACGATTATTGGTTGGTTGGGTGCTTTGATGAGTTCAGTACAAATTGAAGGCGGTTATCATCAAGAAAATGATATCAACCACAGAATAGTTGCAAGACCGGGAAGAGTCGAACAGCTGTTTCGAATAATGATTAGTTCTAAATGTAAACTGTTGGAGGACGATTCAATGACCTAAGAGTACGGTGTTTGACACGAGACCCCAAAAACTTTGGTTTTGTTTTGTGTGATATGATGAATAAACACTGCTGAGGGAACCATTAGTATGACGTAATAGTCCTTCAGTGGTTCCTAGTTTTTAACGGTTCTCCAACTAATATAACTCTGTGATGAAAATCATCCTACACTTATGTTATGTCCCGACACGAATAATGAATGGTAACTTTTGGAATCTATTGATGGACCAATACTAAACGTATATTTCTATTGTATAATTATTAAGTAACTAAACTCTGCATATTCATATTCCTCTTGTTATTCACAGCCACATCTGGCTAATTCTTGTACAAATGTTGTTTCATATTTTATTGGTACGTTGTGGTCTGTTTGATTGGTATCTAAACAGAGTATGTTTGATAGACATGATTCATATTGCAGAGGCTAAGATTGGTGTTCTGGACTTAACTGGCTGGGCTAGGCGGAAAGCAGGACCAATCAGGACTCTAGGCTGCTCGCACGTGTTTTACGCGTCCTCGGTCCGATCGATAATTCGCTGCTTCTGATTGGCGGCTCTGGGCATAACAACTTATTATATTGCCATTCACTCAGAACACTTGACAATTGCACAACTGCTCGTAGTAAATAGGAGTGTCATACAGTAGTATAAAGATCGGCTTCTGTTTAACAAATTTATACTGAATAAATATAGTTTAATTGTTTGAAAACTATTTTTAGTCCGAACCAATTACTTTAACATAAAATTAAGTGCTTACAACTTTTTGTACCATCGATGGACGACATCGTCTCATTTGTAAAATGATACCAGGTATATCATAATAAACACAATTGGATTCTTTATAGATTTGTAATAAATCAGCAACAATAAACGTACCAGTTCTACCAACACCAGCCCTGTTATTTTTAAGTAAAAAGTCAATTTACATATGTATATATATTCGATATGAAAAAGGTTTTGAAACAACGTTAGGTGAGAATCGGTAAAAGGTTTTTTCTACTAACTTATCAACCGAATGATATTTTGCTCAGAGGCCTAGGTTTGGTTTGGAATGGGCAGTGAACACACACCGTTAGGGAGGAAAAAAACTATTTCATAAGTAACGTATACTTCATGAATCCTAAGCTTGAAGTTCGATCCCTAGAGATTACAGGTGTATACTGATAAGGAGTCTCATACTAAAACTGCAGCTGCTCAGTCCTCCTAATTTTCGTTGCTCTTATCAACATAAATTATTCCTGTGTGAAAACCACTTTCATACTGAATTAATCTACACATTCTACTCAAGTAACTGATGAATCAATTTTATCAGATTATCACTTACGAAGTGAATGTACATATAATCAGCCTTGTGTTATGCTTTAAGAGCAAGGAGTGTTGGTGTTACCTACATGCTCGAAGAGATATAAATCAATCAGTGATCTAATTGAAAACTACAAAGGATAAATGTGATTCAATGCTTTATTCATCAGTATATATATATAATATATGCGTTTCCTCAAATCTACGCTAATGAAATTTATTTTTAATTTAATCACATATAAAGACTTGCACTACTGCTGTCCAAAAAGGAACAAAAATCGCTTGTAAGGAGGAAACCTCATAGATCCAGTGTCACCAAAGCATTCTTTGAAACAAAGAAGGAAGGAATAACAATGAATGCTATCCAGTACTATTTTAGCGACCTCCCATTATCAAAAATCTAGTTATAGAATATGCTATTAAGAACAGCAACATAAATTGGAAACCTTGATTACTTACGTGCAATGCACGAGAGTTGGAGAATATCGATGTGATTCTGCACACTTTAATTCACGGTAATCTTTCATAAATGTTTGAAATTCACTTAAATTTGGTACATCAAAGTCTGGCCAAGTCGTCATATGCAACTGTACAACATATTTGGAATTTTCTGGGTTATTTGACTGATTGTTAATCTTATGGAGAAAATCATAAGAAGAATTGTTTATTATTTAAATTGTTTCACCATCAAGTCAACTCTGCAAATAAATAATGACTACATAAGCATGATTTAATTTTGTTTGAATAGTTACTGAAAGATCGTAGAATACGAGACAATTAGTTGCACGCAATAGTCTTAATTTCACTACGAACTTTCTATGGTAAAATCCTTTGTTGAATTCGATTCTAAAGACTTAAATAATATGACATAGTTGTTACGTGAAGCTCGATTTATAATTTACGATAGATAACAATCACACAGATTCAAGTTTATTATATTAAGTTCACTACTACAACTATAGACTTATTTATATTGTTCAGTGGTTGGAAATAGTAAACATTTGGAGTAAATTTGTCGGTAGTAGTTGTTACAGATTGACCTCATTTAGTATACTATCAAATGTCAGTGTGTATTGAGTTCATGTTTTTCTTGTGTATGGAATTCCTGGATTGTGGACAGTGAAGACACTTCCAGAGGTTGTACTTAAGACTTTCATATTATATGGTTAACCAGCAGACCACTTGGCTGAAAATTCTAACTTGCATCGGCTCATAATAAAGCGAAACGAACATCCAATCCCACTGATGACGACTGCTTTACTTTGGATATGTCCAGACTTTATCAGTTATTATCATTATTAATGGCTTTATTCAGTACTATGTGTTTATTATGATGTGGCATTCGCAGCACGAACTATTTCAGCAAGTTTCTTTTACAAAAAAAATCGATTACTGAATACATGTATACCTGAAATAAGAAAATAAACTATTTGAAATTAAATGAAATGTTTCAAGGTAATAATCTATACAAATCTTAACAAGCAACGTGTTCAAAAATACAAGTTTTTGACTAGGTCAGCCCTTAAAACTTATTCGTCACATAGTATATTTGTTAGATACGATATGTAGAGCTTTCATACATTTGCCTATGTGCATAGATTCTATTTTATCGGTGTCTTGTTCTACCAGAAAATATACATGGAAAAAAATATGAATGCAGTGGATGGCTTTTGTCGTACGAGATTTTGGTACTAGGACGAAATAGCTGTTAACTGCTGCCTGGTTTGTAACGGAACTTTGAATGAGGTCAATTTGTGATGAATGTAAACCAACCTTCACAAAATCTCTTCAACAATTTAAGCTAAATATTTTATATCTGACAGACAATAATACAATGGGCACTTTCTAGGTTGCAAAGCATTGATTTAATCACTGTACGACGCTATTAATGTGATCATTGACTCGAGATACCATATTTCACAATAAAAAGAGAGGTAATTAACAAGATGAAATAATGATCAATTTGATCATAGTGGCTAGGTAATTAATTTATTTACCAAGTACTATTTTCAGAGTAAAATATTTGAAGGCTGGAGTGATGAATATTAGTAAATGAGATCGGTACGGTGGAACGACGTAAGCACCATGATGACTGGTGAAAGAAAAAGGAACATATAAATTCAAAAAAGCCTCTTAATTAAAACCTCATTTGAACCAAAAATATAAACCCGTTTCTCCCAATTTATCTAACCAGATATCACAGTGAGAATAAAACAATGATGTTAGGCATTAAAAGTTATAGTAATATTTGTTTTATGACTTTAAAATTTGAAGATAGATTTGTTAGGGCTTTAGACCCATTGAAAATGACTGTCGGATCAATTGCTACAAGTTAAAAAATAATAAATGGATCTCATTATTGATGGAAACAACGCTAATCCCGGTGAAATCTTAAGTGGTTAACTCAAATGGAGTGACTGGGTTTGTATTCGACTTAAATGTAGTCAAGTTTATAAAAATGTTTAAAATAGTAGCAAATAACGTTATATTGTCTATTCCATAGGGTCGATTGGTAGATAACTAGTTAGTATAGTGCTCAGATTCCTTGGTACTATGAAGTTTGTATATGTTCTGATATAATACATACTAACATGTCACTAAAGACGATAGATAAATAAACATAAAAGCAGTGAAAAGTATAGATAAGAAAATACGCTCATGACAAACATATTTCTGGTTGAGATAAATATTACTTAAGGTCCGAACTCCTTTAAAATATCCTCAAAATGCTGGACAACTGTTTTGTCGCTACGTTGAAATAATAAAACTTGGGTCTCTAGGTCTGTCATTTAAAACAAAATCTTTGATTAATACATTACATCATCGAGTAAAAATATACTCATAACTCTACGTATGTTGTAACCTCCATTTGTTTATCCTGTTTGTAAACCCAAATCTAGCAAATCTAGGATTCATGGCTCTCATCCATGCGGCCCGGATTCGAGTCCTGGCGCAGGAGCGCTTTTGCCCTCAAATGCCCTGGTATGGCTGAGGATGGGGAGAGTCCGGTCTCCATCTCGAAATGCTCTCATATGGTCACGCCTACAGAGCCACTGTCAAAGAAGTCCTACTCAATGTCTTCTCGAGGAGGGGACGTTGTTTACGAAATTGGGAGGACGAAAAGCGAATGTCTGGCGCTTTAACCGGGCTGGTAGGTACAGAGAATCCATCTAGGGTAGTTGGAATAACCTGATTCCAAACCAATGGTACACATGGGCTCCAGGATTCCGAGGTAACAAACGGAGTAGGAACCGATTGTTGGTCACCGACTACCGTGGCACTGAATCTCCTAATGTTGCCCCACTGCTTTACGGATTATACCTTTTGGTCAAGCGCTCCGGGTGTGGCCCCCAAAAAACACCACCTGCTTCGGTTTGAACACCCGGGCAGTATCACAGCCCACACGCGAATCAAATGACGATTACTACTGGAAATATTCTTGCATCAATTAGCATTCAGGTAAATCACATTGACAATCATTTGATAACATTCTTTATCTTTCTTTATATACTACGTCGCTTATCTGCTCTCTTCTATTTTCACTTTGTGTACTCTTAGTTTCCAACTTATACCGAAGCTCGCCTATGGTGGAAATTCTGTCCTATCTAAACAATCTCGAATCACTGACTGGTCGAAAGTTGAATGCTACCACCGACTAAGAATACTGAAATTCTTTCTGAAACCACGTATACCATTCAAACTGGCTTCCTTCAACGTTCACACACTAATGCAGGTCGGACAACGTACAGGTTTGGCTGTCTTTAGAAAGTCTTAATATCGATGCCTGTTTGTCCGTGACCCGTGTTTAGGACTAGTGAAGTACTACAAATTAGCTCTCCATCTGTCGCTTCAAAAGGTTTATTTTACGTGCGCTTATCCGGGGACCCTGTGGCATCTTCGTCTGGTTTTGCTGGTGTTGGTGTCGCACTAAATGCCAGAGCTGAGGCAGCACTAATCGATTGGATCCCCATTAACAGTCGGTTATGTGCTGTTATATTAGAAATTTCCATCAAAGTAAGAAGAAATCGGTGTGAGAAACGATGTCTTTTCGTCATCTCCACCTATGCTCCGACAGATTGCAGCCCGGATGCGATCAAGGATGAGTTTTACCACCAGTTAACTGTTCCTCTTCAGAAAGTGTGCCCGATAGACATTGTAATACAAGACGGAGACTTGAAAGTTCAGTTCGGGCGTCTAGGCACAGAAGGGAGTCGTTTAGGTAGCCGATGGGGACTTCTTGGACGCAAGTCAGATAACGGGGACCGTCTACTTCTACTGTGCGCAGATCACAACCTGTTTCTCACTAGCACTAACTACCGGCACAGTCATCGCCGATGTACCACCTGGCGTCCTCCCTCTGCATCTCAGATTGACCACATCGTGGTCAGCTACCAGAGGCGTGGTTGTGTACAAGACTGACACTCCTTTTGGAGTACCTTTCTAGACTCCGATCATGCCCTTGTTTGCGCTAATCTTACCTTGCTATTCACTGGCCAACAGATTCATCGTCCTAAACAAATTGATGTCAGTAAATGGGTTGCAGCTTCTGTTGTAACTAAATATCAAACCGAGATAGGTTTGAGGCTATCTACCATCTCACCGAAAACTATAGATGAGCATTGGTTGAAAATGCATAATGTCATGAAAATGTCAAGTCACTCATAAGCACTGGGTTTCTTCAGGCTCCTTACAAATCGATGGAGCCCGTCGGTCTGCTCCGGGTGATTGCGAGTTTGACCACAAACAAAGATTTACGAAGTGAAATTGTGAAGCAGCAACTGCATCTGGTAACTGCTGGAAGCTCGTTCAACTCATCCGAGTCACTAGGAGCAAGAACTCTGGTGTGAGTGAAACAATCTGTGAAGGTGACGGGATGCCACTCAATAGCATTTATTGACGTTCTGGACAATGGGTAGAGTTTTTCGAGGAGCAGTTCAACTGGTCTGCAGTCCCAGCAACATCGACCAGACTTTCCTACCCCCATGACCCGTGACGACGAGGCGGAAGTCCTCCAGATCGACTTACGCCAATGTAGGCCATCTTTGGCGCCTTCGTGATGTTAGTCTGAATGTAATGGTCGGATCTACAATGCGTCGATGAGAGCAGTTTTGCTCTATGCTCGTGAAACCTGGCCTCTACGGATTGAGAATGTAGACAAATCTGTGTTTGATCATCGTTTTCTCCGAAGGATTGCTGACATCCAGTGGCAATACCATGTCAGTAATGCAGTTCGCCATCGTGTGTTTGGGTGCAGAGACGATAATTCAATTGGTGTCACTATCTTGGAACATCGACTTCGGTGGCTTGGACATGTCTTACTAATGTCATTCCAGAGAATTCCACGTCGTGCATTACATGTTATCATACGCACATTACATTATATGTGTCTTTATATTCTGATTGTTATTGTGTGGCGCATATGTAATTGGTGCCCTCTTGTACCAAAGTTAATGTGCTTAAATAAAATATTTAATCGTACTTAAGTTTACTTTCATATCCATAAAAATCACATAGTTCAAACCACGACGTTTGGTGGTACAATCAAATAAAGATACTGTAGCTAATACCTTGACGTGATGGTCAAGTTTGTCTGTCGTGATGACTAAACCGAACTGTATTGGCTGGAACACATGTTCTTCTAGATCCTACTGTAATGAACGAAGTCTTGAGTGGTAAACCAATTTATTATATTTAGCAGAACCACATAGTGCATTTGTAAAATATGAAAACAGTAGGTTAAATACACCATTTGAACATCGTTAAATTGTCTCATACATACTCTATTGTTTTTTCATTCCAGTTGCTACTCAAACTGCTTCTTCTTTTCATTTTTGTGTTGGTTACATGGATCTTCCCATTGATATTTAGGACTGCAATTGATCAGTCTCTTATTGGCATATATACATCCTGTGAGTAGTGCCTCGATATTGCCTTCAGTCACAAGTATTACAAGCATAGCAGTAAAATCATCACGTGCGTTTAGTCCTGTTTGGGGCTCGTCAACTAGACGTACCTGCATCACAAAGTTGATAAGCGAACGGTACTGGGTCCGAGTACCGGAGTGTGCATCAACGCTGGAATGCGGGTACATCCAGCTGACGATTCCTATATAGAACGGAACGCGCGCCCTGGATTCCACTGATAGCGAACATAATCTCTGCTCAAGATGTTTGTTCGTTTCTTACTCCTATCCTCACGTTCCTCTCCCATCAGTAAAATCCTACTTCAAAATCTTGATCAATACTATTAATATCCCTCCGTTTAAGTAGCACATTCCACACCACAATATCAGGCAGGTCAGTTGAAGAACGGCAAGACTAAAACCAGCAACTTAAGGTCTGAGGGCGCAGTCGTATTATTTTTATTTGGCTTTAGTAGAAATTCTCTAAGAGATAACATTTTCATCATCTGACCTTTTAGGGATTGATCTCCTATCAGGAGATTCACTTGTTCACTTAGAATGTGCAAATGATATAGTTTTCTTTGTTGAAAACGCTGACAAAAGACAGTCTCTTGACCACCTTAAGCAACAGTATAAGCATGTTTGATATGCAGTTCTCTCCCTCCAAACGAAAAATGTTGCTTTAGGATTAGCTTGGGTTAGAGCCTAAGTTAATGATATCCAGTAAAGTACTTGGGCATGCCGACTGTTTCATTTATTTTGGGAATCTTACCAGTACTGATGGTCTGGTGTCTGACAAAATCTCGGCACGGATTCTGAAGACTCGACTGGCTTTTGCCAACTTGCGCCAATTGTGAGATATCCATTTTCCAACAAAAGAGCGAGTTTGCCACACAACATACAGCATGTTCTAATTTATGCATGTGAAACATGGTCATTAAGAAAAGAGGATATTCGTAGGTTACAAGTATCCAACCATAGCGGTCTACAAAGCTCTTGTATTTTGGAACCACGAAGTAAGCAATATCTAGGTTAGAAACATAGCACTTGGTGAGTATGGGAAATCGATTGAAGAAGTAGTGAATCTTCAACATCTAGGGTGGTTGGGATATGTGTTACGTATGCTCAAGTGCCGTCTACCTTTATGAGCCATGTTCGCTCTTGTAGTATTATGTTTAGAGAAAGTTTGAAGCGGCCAAAATGAAAGATGCCATCAGTTCACCGATTTGTAGACAATTGGATTCAGCCATGTCAGTAGGTATAGACCACCACCCAGTTGTAGTCCACGTGTTTATCATAACCAATGGTTAGATTCATTGAATGACATGGCTCCAAATCATTTGTAATAGCTCTGATTCATCCGTCTTTTGTTTACTCGAATTCTGAGCTCCTGGATTCCTCGTGATTTTCGTTATTTCACATATTTGTATTTTCTTCATGAATCGCATCATCGATATCTAGTCTTTCCCATTAGCACTGGAACTTTTGCTATCTCTAATATTCTGGGATTTATCAGTATGGGGTTGTGGAGATTGTTCAGTTTTTGATTGAGATAATGAATCGATTGACGTTAGACCACCATTGAAAACCTGGAAGCACTGAACGGCCGTTTCGCACTAGTATGGGACTCCTCAGCAGTGCGCATCCACGATTCCGTACAAGGGATTCGAACACAGGACCAAAGGTCTCGCCAGCAAACGCCTAATCTCTAGACCACTGAACCGGCATCCAACCGATTTAATGTCTAACTTCAACGAATCCACGAAATTTGGTCCAGCAATTTCATTTCTCTGTGATAATGCGTCATGGCAACTTGAATCGGAGTACATACGCTGGGACTAACCTAACAGATTTGTAATTGATTTTCTTTATCAAGAAAGTTTTTATTATGAACTGATTTTAACTAGCGGATCTCTGAAGACCAGAATTCACTAGGAATCCAATTAAGTTTTACTTTGACAGTCCTCAATAGTGTGAGCCCCTGTTATCACTTGATGAGGATTTCATATTTCAAGTATTGAGTAGGAATCCAGTGATTAGTATTTCATTTAAGCTTAAATAAACATAAAAAGCAAGAATGTAAAAGTGTAGAATCAAATATACACATACAGAAGTAATGTATAGTTTACGTAAAATGTATATATGATGATCTTCTTCAGATAATAATGTCACTTCTAATCTCAAGCAATCTGACTGGAATGTTAATGATTCATGAATATCATTTGGCCAATACTGACAACATTTTGATATATTGTCTTCATATAATCTATAGAAACAATTAACCAAGAAAAAGTAACATAAAGTTTTGAAGTAAAGAAAATTTATTTATGTAGATTTTGTCTAGTTCAACGAAGATCGCAATTATGAACTTTAACAGTTTATTATGAAACCGATTATAGAGCCCATAGGTTTTGAGTCAACAGGATCTAATGAAGTGTATATGGATAAGAAGTAAAATATTAAAACGAAACAGCTGTTCAGTGTTGTATGACCTCCGATCGTTCTTCAGCTAATATTAATTGATGATGAAAATAATGAGCTCATTGTCATAGAATACTGGACTTGGTTTTATTATTTATTAAATAACTAAAGGATTAGTGATATTCACCATGCGTAATGGTATGCAATCATCCAAGGTTTTGATGTCAACTTAGTCACAAGACAATCAACTATGGAAATATCAGGCAGTTTATTGTTTTCGCCATACAATGAACAATTATTTTGATGTTGATAAGATAACATCATCATCTTTGTTTGACTAAATATAACAATATCAGTGAGTGAAAAGAATAGAAATACAAAAATGTCTTCAGTTCGCAAAATCAGTAACCATGTAAAATGGACATATATCGTAAGAGCATTCGTAATTATTTGAAATCATAGTTTGACAGAAATAGAATGACTAGTGTAGATTTATCTATTTGAACAAATAAATAATGATACAAAGGAGCACTAAATACATATGCACTACATAATAACAATGAGAACGTGAAGTGCGTATAAGAATAAGGAGAACGATATAATGAGCAATGAATAATAACGTCTCAAGCCACTGTGTTGGATCATCGATAGGATCTCAATCAGAGAGTTGTGAAGGACAAACAGAAGCCAGTCCCGTACAGCTTTCTTTCATACCACAACACCATGTCATAAACTGACCACCTCTCCGCTTTTTCCAACCAGTCCCAAAGTAAACAAATAATGCACGACGAGGAATTCCCCAGAATGTCATTCGTGGAACATGTCCAAGCCATCGAAGTCGATGTTCCAAGATAGTGACACCAATTGAATTATCGTCTCTGCACCCAAACACACGATGGTGAATTCCTGCATTACTGACATGGTATTGCCACTGGATGTCAGCAATCCTTCGGAGAAAACGATGATCAAACACAGAGTTGTCTACATTCTCAATCCGTAGAGGCCAGGTTTCACGAGCATAGAGCAAAACTGCTCTCATCGACGCATTGTAGATCCGACCATTACATTCAGACTAACATCACGAAGGCGCTAAAGATGGCCTACATTAGCATAAGCCGCTTTGGCATTCACTATACGTGAATCGATCTCATCACTCACCGCACCACCAGCACTTATGCAGCTATCCAGATACACGAACTTCTCAACTACTTCTATCTGCTCACTATCCAGGGTGAGTACAGGATCAGTGTCTTGCTAGTCTTGTAAAGGTGCTTTACACTTCAAAGGTGCAAAGCACATACCATACTTACGGACACTAATTGCCAACTGATTAAGTGCCGATTGCATGATATGTGTATCATCGCGTAGTAAGGCAATATCATCCGTATACTCAAGGTCGAAAAGTCTTTCTCCAGGCAACAGATCCACACCACCATTACTTACATACATCAGGGCTGTTTCGAGAATATCATCGATGGCAAAGTTCAAGAGGAATGGTGAGGTGGGCAACCCTGTCTAACCCCACTGCTTGAGTGGAACGATGGAGAGAGGTGGTTGTATGCCCTCAATCTACCTGAGGTGTTAGTATATAGGATTTTTAGGATGTTAATAAACTTCTCAGACACACTCTTCTTCAATAGACAATACCAGAGTACAGACCTATACAACGAATTGAAGGCAATCCCGATGTCAAGAAACACTATGACTGTTGGCCTATGATAAGTGTGACATTTGGTGGCTGATGAAGATATGATCAATACATCCTCAATCAGAAAGAAAACCAGCCTGCTCCTCGCGAGTCAATCTTTCTCGGGTTTTGGACAATCTCCGAAGTATGACGGAACCCAATAGTTTGGACGAAATCGGAAGTACACTTATCTCCGAATGGTTGTTGGATAGGTGAATTGGACCCTTCTTAAAGATGGGGACAGCCACCGACTTATTCTACGATGTTGGAACACTCTCTAATTACCAGACCTTTATAAATAACTCAGTCATTTCCATAACCAAAAAGTCTAAAAAAGGATTGATGTTTAGAGGCAGTGGTTCTAATCCTCTTTATACCAAAAGTATCTGTAAGTTGCTGAAATCGTTTGCTTTCAAACTGAGCTCCACGGTCGGTTGTAACTGTTGTAGGAACACTGAAGTTTGTAATCCAGTGTTTCGCTAATTTCTTTTCCACTGTTGATGTCGACGTGTCTTTTAACGGAACGGCTATGGACCACCTCGCTCAACTCTAAGCTTCCTCTTTTGGCTTCCTCCTCAAGTGTTACCATAGCCAACGATTCTAGCGCGCAAAAAACTATCCCTGATCTAGTGAAACCTCGCACCAAACTACACATTGGAGCCTTCAACGTACGCACCCTATGCCAGATCGACCAGCAAGCCTCCTTGGCTAGAACCCTAGAATCTCGTACCATTGATGTATGCTGTGTCTCTGAAACACGCATACAGGATCCCAGTGTGGACATATACTTGACGTCACCTCGGCAAAACGGTAAGCCAACGAGATACACCCTCCGTGTACCTTTTGACCCGATGGCTACTTCTCGTGGACTGGCAGGTGTAGACATAGCACTAAGCATGAGGGCGGAACGAGCACTGTTAGAGTGAATCCTCGATAACAGTCATCTATGTGCTGTTCGTCTAAACGGCTACGTCAGAACTCGGAAGGATAGGGACACACGTCGTTGCCTTTTTGTCGTTTTTGCCTACGCTCCCACCAACTGCAGCTCGGATGAAGTGAAAGATGAATTTTACAGAAAGCTATCTGGACTTCTTCAGAAAGCTACACGTTCAGACTTAGTACTCGTAGCAGGTGACTTTAATGCCCAGATAGGTAGCTTAAACCAAACAGAAAGGCATTTAGGTGTGCATTTTAGTATCCCAGCTCAGTGAACAGATAATGTTGATCGTCTGTTGCAACTATGCTCAGACAATCGTTTATTTTTAGCAAGCACTAATTTTAAACATAAAGAGAGACATTGTCTAACATGGCGACGCCCTGCATCAAACCAACGATGAACTCAAGTAGACCATGTTGCCATCAGTCTTCGTTGGAGAGGGTCGATCGAAGATTGTCGCCCATTCTGGAGCACGTGCTTTGACTCCGACCATGCTCTAATACGGACATGCATCTGCCTGAACCTTACTGGACGCAGAAAAGCCACACTAAGAAGACCCATTAGAATTGAACTGAGTGACGGGGAAGCCGAAAGCAGATTCCAGGAACAACTGGGTTCACACTTAGGTAGTTCTGAAAACGAGGCTGACTCAGGTATGCTTGGAAAGATATACAAACAGCTGTGGGAACAGCAGTGACATCTGTCAGTGATTTAAACACAGGGTTACAAAGAACCAATCGATTTCCTCAAGGTCTATTGTACTGATGGATTCTCGTAAACTCATCACATCAGGCTCTGAACACGATGAAGAGCGACAACAAATCAGATCTAGGTTAAGAAAAAGTCTAAGAAACGACCGTGAGCAGTGGTGGGTAACGAAAGCAAAAGAGATGGAAAAGGCGTCGGCTATAGGGAACACAAGACAGCTCTACAGACTAATAAAAGAAATTGGAATTATTAAGTCAAGTGTAAGTGAAACTATCTCGGAAAAAGACGACACTCTTATCTGCTCCCAGTCCAGACGTTTAGAACGATGGGTGGAACATTTAAAGTACTAGTTCATCTGGCCTCCAGCTACTCTACAACTACCCTTTATTCCCAGACAGTGTGAATGGAACATTGAAGTAGGTCCCATAACTCTAGCAGAAGTTCGAAAGTCTATAGTTAATCTGGAACGAGTAAGAGCAGCTGGTCCAGATGGATTGGTTCCAGAGGTCTTTAAGGATGGTGGTCCAATTTTAGCGATTAGGTTGACGAATATTTTAGCTAAAATCTGGGAGTTGGACGTAATCCCATCTGACTGGTCACAATCATTGATTGTCCCAATATATAAGAAGGGGTCAAAATCATCCTTTGATAACCACATAGGGATTAGTTTGACTAATATAGCATCTAAAACACTAGCATAAATAATTATCGGTCGCCTATCTAAGACTCGTGAACTTCAAACACGAGAAAATCAGGCCGGCCTCAGACCTGACCGTGGCTGCATCGATAACATATTCACTATTCATCAGGTTTTAGAACACAGGCATACTTACCGGCTTCCGACAATGATAGCTTTTCTTAAACTAAAAGCAGCATTTGATTCGGTAGACCGAAAGGTTCTGTGGCAGTGTCTGTCATTGAACGGTGTGCTTCAGAAGCACATAAGCCTTGTGAAGGCTCTTTACTCGAACACTACCAGTCGAGTCAGAGCTTATGGCGAAATGTCATCTGATTTCGCAACCTCAAGTGGTGTCCGACAAAGCTCTCCACTATCTACATTTCTGTTTAATTTTACGATAGACCTACTGCTGGAAATAACGTTCTCGTCGTCTGGATTTTCAGGAATTTATTTCCTACCAGGAGGTCCACTTGTCCACTTAGAATATGCAGATGACATAGACTTGTTTGGTGAAGATGCTGATAAAATGCAGTCTTTTGGGGGCACTGAGAAACTATTCCAGGATGTTTGGTATGGGTTTCTCCCCTTCTAAATACAAGTTGTTGCTTTAGGACTGGCCTGCGTCAACACCCAAACTAAGGATAGGGAGTGATGAAGTAATCGAACGCGTCGACAACTTCACTCATCTTGAAAGTCTGATCAGCCGAAATGGGTTGGTGTCTGACGAAATCTCTGCATGGATTCGAAAAGTTCGGTTGGCTTTTGCCAACTTAAGTCACCTATGGCGAAGACGAAATATCCGTCTATCAAATCAAGGGCGAGTATAACGTGTGGCAGTTTGTTCTGTTCTACTTTATGGCTACTAAAAGTGGCCATCAAGAGTAGAAGATATTATTAAGTTACTAGCATTCGACCACAGATGCCTTTGAAACATTGCTCGAATCTGCTGGGATCATCGAGTTAGTAGTAGCAAGGTTAGACGCAGGGTATTAGGGAATGATGGTAAATCAGTTGATGAGGTTGTGAATCTTCATCGACTGAGATGGTTGGACCACGTGTTACGTGTTTACATATTCAAATATTTCTTCTGAATCCTCTCACCTAATAACGAAAATATGTCATTTACATGCCGTAACCAAACTTAAAGTGTAGTTACATATTCCATGGTCGCACTGGTTTCCAACGTATGCATCAGTGAATTCGCTGCAATCGGTAGAACTGGCAAACCCACCTTTGTCTTTGAAGATCACATATTATGATGAGATGAAAACACAATTACAAACACTCAATGATCTCGGAATAATCTAACAGGCATAGTAAGTTTAAATGTTTCAGATTCTAAATAGCCATAAATAACATCCAACACTATTGATAGGCATATCAGCAAAGAAGCAAGAAACATCAAAACTTGGTATTATTTCATCGACTTTCATATGAACAGTACTGATATTATTCTTGAATTCAATGAAATTTCGGAGCCCATGGTTAACTAATTTGTTATATGGTTTGAGTATCCTAAATTTTCAATTGTGTAATTTTCTTATGAACAAAATGATCAACATGTTTTTCGCATCAGATAGAAACTGAATTTACTTGCTGAATTGTATATTGGAACTAACGAACGTAATAAGTATGATGCAGTTGAAAAGAAAATCTGCTCCCTAAGTCTTCTCTTCAAAGGAGGTGAAATTACTGGAACAATTAACTACAGAATAGATGCTACGATGAAGACTGATAATCCAAAAGCGAAAACTGATAACTTAGCGTGAAACGAACTACTCTCTCACTTACATATAGTATCCAAACAATTTTTTTAAAAATTCAGTTTTCCAGCAATGTGTGAATTTTATAAATAAATCCCACTATTCCACGGATTTTCTGAGAGCCTTTTTATTTCACTATAAATTCAATAAATTATTTCGCATTATCGTTGGACAGACCACATATATTGTTAAAAATCACTCACTTTGTAAGCATAACGATAATGGTGATATTTTGATCCAGAATCATTCTCCAAAAATCACCAACTGTTGATTCTAATGGTGCCTGTGATGCAATGTACTCTATTTTATTTCTGTTTAGCACGGGATGTGTGTGAACACTTGTACAAGGTATTATTTCATAAATAAAACTTGCATTTACATAATCGTGTTCCTATAAAGTGGACAAAATATATTAAGAAACTTCGTGCATATGTGCTTATTTGAGCTACATCAAGCAAACTGAGTAAATAAATATTTCGATAGAGCAATGAGAAGACGGAGTTGATCTGAAAAATGTGATGTCATTGCGCTAAACATTTCGAACAATCTGGTAACGCATACTTGTCAAGGTATTTTATATGAAAACTAATAAAAATCAGTAAAATGAAAGTTCATGTAAAACAAGTTAATAAAGGGGAGATAAAGTTTTTTACATAGAAAGAATAAGAAATTGTCGCATCACCCTAGGCCATAAAATGACTTAAGGATTACCAGCGTAAATTCAAGGATACGACAAATTGTTTTTGTACATACAAGAGCGGTTCAAATTTACGAATAGCCAATAAACCTGAGAATACATCCTTGACAATTTCTTCTGTACAACGTTTCAAAAGCTGTATTGATGTCAATTTTGTGCCCCGTTTCAATTATGTGCATCGCTATTGATGAACATGGATTTCTATTTCCCACGTTTATTGGATCATTTGACATTAACTGGTTTCGAAGCCATCTAGGGATATGTTCCATGGCCCTTGATTGAATTTTCAATTACTCTTCCCTCTGTATATGTATCCGCACAAACATGTAAACAGGTAAATGCAATGGGGTGTGACGTAATCATCTGTTATACTGTCTAGGTCTATTTGGAATCATGAGCTTAAACGTTTTAATCACAATCGGTTTAGCAGCATAATATGTTTTCTCGATGGCTGCTTTCAATTTCTGTCATAAAACCGTACTATATGGTAGGTAGATATAAATTTTTTTCTCCGTTAAAGTTTATAAACAGGTGCAGAAGTCAGTCAACACTAAGATCTTTCGTTTATTCACTTCCGAAGAAAATGTGTAGAGCGAATATCTCACATTTTTCAGATCAACTCCGTCTTCTCACTGCTCTATCAAAATTTATAAAATGGATTATTTGTTTTAAATAAATATCTAATCGAATAGCTCAGTAAGAACAGTTTGACTAAGAAACAGTGTGAAATCGTAAGGACAACTATTGCCCCCTAGTTTGCAACGAATAATCCAAACCGAATTGTTGGGATATTCAGAAAAATATCCCAAAAATTATCCTGTTAAGTCTAATGATATCCTTAAACGTGAAATGGTGTCATTTTTCTGTTGGTCAATATTCAAGGTAGTCCTAACTGTATAAATATGCATTTGTCTGTAAAGTATCATTTCTATTCCTATTCTTATTCTTATCCTTCTCTTGACCCCATAAACAATTTCATCTACGGTTTGTGTTCTGATATGTTGGCGATTGAGGAACAGTATTGGGGTCGTACTGGGATATCCGAAGTTGGTCAGTCGGTAGAAATTAGAGAAGCCACCCCGCAGTCCACAACACAAATCAAACTCAACACTACACACCATAGTGATCGAAACACAATCCAGCCATTGAATGATGAACTAAAGATTTGATTTCTCAATTTCAATCGCTTTCCCATATGAGAGTAACAAATATCCAGTATCATCATGGTATGTTTACCTTATTTCATTTGCTAATCTGTCCAATTAATAAATAAACCTTGGTCAAAAAACGTTTTGTAAATTTAAAGTACATCAATCCAATCAGCTTCAAAACACTAATTATTTCCAGTAAAACACTTTTTCTACCGTTCTATCTATCGTTCAAAACATTACACGTAGTCCTCAAAATAAAAGCTTGACGCTGTAATAATAGAATTATTATTTGTTGACAATGACAGCTCTTTCAGGGAAAGGCGAAGTTTAAGGGTTTTGACCAGTAGATGCAGTATCCCGTCCTTCTCAGCTTTTGGTGAAATGTCAGCAAATTTGGAATAGGTTATTCACACACTTTTACCAACCAGAAATTTCCGCATGTGTTATACGTAGAGACTATATTCATAAATTCACTCAATAACAGATTATAGACAAGAACTTTAAAAACTTTTGACGACATCTCTGGATTTTCTCTGAGTGAGTAGGAAGTATTGTACTATTAAGAACACTTTCTCATATGTAACGTAGTGCGAGTCATAAAAAAGATAGGTAGATATAAAATTAGTGTCTCATTAACTTAGAATAGAAACATGTTACTTTTATAGATTTGTTTTATTATCGACTAGAAGGTGATACAACTTCGAATGAGTTAAACTCAACACTGATTAGGTAGGTGACTTTCCACATGAAGCCGATTCATTAAATACCAAGTCAAAATGTCATAATTTTTTTCTAATAGGTGACTAAATTGCTAGAACTTCAATCATTATATTCCATGTTCAAACTTTACACTCAGTTCAGTTTTGTCAGATAAATAGAACCCTCAACTGTTACACAAAAAAGTATAGCCCATAATCGAGGAGGAAAATTTTTGGGTTGTCGCATTAACGACTAGTATATACAAATTGGAGCTAACCAAATTTTAAAAAGACCATAATCAAAACTGTCTATGTAATAATCAATTCACAAAGATAATTAAAAACGTATTAAAAACGAAGTGAAATCATATTCCGAATGACAAGTTTCTCTCGATAGATTATACTACCTTTATTATTCATAAACAGATGTTATTTTCCTAACCAATACGCGCTGTGTAAATTTTTACCGTAAGTATATTTCTTCTTAGCTCATATAGACTAATTAAACAGTAGTAGATCGAGAAAAATAAATTACCTGTTTGCTTTTTTGAAGTGGATTTAACTTCACTCGCGTTTGATCATCTAAAAATGTTCAGATAAATTTATTGAGAGAATAAAACGAGAAATTAGTTGACTTTGCCGATTGAAATATTTATTAAAACATTAATATTTGCTGAAAGTTCGATCATTAAATGATCCACCTTTAAGGATCGTTGAAAACATTATAATTGCTTACGCCTGTTACCCTAAGTGGAGCATATGCCGGCCGACCAACATTCTCAAACACACTTTGTCCTGGGCCTTCCTTTCTAGTCCTATTCAATTATTGTTCATTCTTTTCATATCTGTCTCCATTTTTCGGCGTAATGTGTTCTTTGACCTTCCTCTCCTGCTTTGGCCTTGAGGAATCCAAGTGAGGGCTTGTGGGGCCCTTAATTTTGTCGTCATTTAGATAGAACGATGTTGTCGAAAGGGCTCTCCACTTTAGTGGCCCGTGGATCTGACTCCAATTAGATCGTATGAACGTTTGTTATCGCCTATCCTCATATATAATCATCGATTTAAATCGCGTTAGTCAGTGACAGAATCAAATAAGTCAAATAACGAGAATGGACTTGTGGATACATATATTTTGTATATGGAGCGAAATGAATAGAGAGAAGAGAAACGACACGGAGTGGAGATGGCTGGTAAGCCAACACCCCTTTAACCGAGCGTTAATCAATATTTATAGTTACACAACAGTAAGTTACAGAAATGTGATGAGTAATGTGATAAGAATGTACACACACCTACGCGCTCATATAGAAAACAGTCAAGATTGGCAAGCGAATAAATAACAAGGTCGGAATGTGACTCAAGTAGAATGAATAGAATGGGCTGTCCGAAAGCTAGAATAAGGTATATGGGTTTAACATAATAACCGACACTACAGACTTGCCTTGTGACACAGTTTTATCTTCGGGATGGTGGCTTCCGTAGTTCTCTAAGTTTCTACCCCATACAGTAGAACTGTCTTGACTTTATGTTGGAAATTCTGACCTTGGTTTTGGTTGACAGTTGTTTTAAATTCCAGATGTTCTTCAGTTGTAGATGTGCTGTTCTTGCCTTGACGATCAGCGCCTTCACATCCGAATCTAATCCACCGTGCTCATCAGTGATGCTTCCCAGATATGTAAGGGTCTTTACATCGTCCAAAGCATCACCGTCAAGTATGATTCGATTGGTGCGTGCTGTGTTGTATCGGCGAATCTAGCTTTTACCTTCGTGTATATTGAGACCTACTAGTGCTACACTGGTCGCCTTCTCCTCCATCTGTTGTTGCGTGTGCGATAGAAGGGACAGATCATCTGCGAAGTCTAGATCGTCCAGCTGCATCCTACCTGTACAATGCATCCCGTGCTTCCCCCAAGATGTTGACGTCTTCATAATCCAGTCGACAATCAGGAGAAAGAAAAAGGGTGAGAGTAAGCAATTTTGCGTGAATTCGGTCTTTACTTCGAACGTGTCTGTCAGCTATCCACCATGCACGATTTTGCAGCTTAATCCATCATAGAAATTCCATATGATATTGACTATCTTCTCAGGCACGTCGTAGTTTTGAAGAAGCCTTGTCTACGCTATCAAATGCTTTCTCGTATTCAATGATGTTCATGCAGAGTGATGCATTCCATTCAACTGATTGTTCCACAGTGATTCGTATTGTTACGATTTAGTCGGCACACGATCAATCCTTATGGAATCCAGCCAGTTGGTCTCGAAGTTGGACATCTACGGAGTCATTCATTCTGTTTAATAACACCCTGTTGAAGACTTTCCTGGTATTGAGAGAAGAGTGATGCCACTGTAGTTCTCACAGTTGCTGAGATCGCCTTTCTTTGGAATCCTGATCAGGTGTCCTTCTTTCCAGTCTGTTGGTACTTGTTCTTCATCTCAAATCTTACTTAAGAGAGTGTGCAGTATCCTTGCAAATACTGCTACATCTGCTTTCAGTACCTCTGTTGGAATGTTGTCTGGTCCTGCTGCTTTGCCGCTCTTGATTTTTCTGATGGCCATGCTGATCTAGTGGTCCAAAATCGATTGGGAGGTCATTGGGTGCTACTTAAATGTTGGTGGATTCAGTGGAGCTGGTCGATTCAAGAGTTCTTTGAAGTATTGTACCCACCTGTTTCGCTGTTTTTCAAGGTTGCTTATTACTTCGCCTTCTTTGCTTTTCACTGGCCGTCCTGGTTTATGTTAATTTCCAGCGAGCTTCTTTGTTGTATCATATAAATGTCTCATGTTTCCTTCTCTTACAGCCTTTTCCACCGTTATTGCTAGATCTTCCATATATTTACGTTTGTCGATTCTAATGCTTCCCATCACTTGCTTGTTTGCTCCTGTGTATTCAGCTTGCGCCTTGGCTTTCTCTGCTCTTGTTCGGTTGATATTGATAGTTGCCTTCTTGTTCCTCATTTCTTGAGTCTTATCCAGGGGATCAACAGTGGTCCGTTCCTTGTGATCGTGCTTCTTGTGGCCCAGAACCTCATGACATGTTTAAGTAATTGCCTCCTTTTATCCCTTTCCAGTTGTTCTCTATGGAACATGTTACTGAGGTCTATCTTGGATTCCTTGAGTCAGTTAGCATTCTGAAGAAAAGCCGTATTAAACTTTTGTGATGTTGTCCGCCCCATCGTCCAGTGCTTCGTGAGAAGAGAAGCTAAAGAACGCGCAGTGGAGAAGACGATTGAGCCAACTCAAATTTAGCCAAGCGTGAATCGATATTTATAGTTGAACAAGAATAAGTTACAAAGATGTTATGAATAGGATAAGAAGTGCACACACATACGCTCATATAAAAGTTGATAAGTGAATAATTGACTAAGTCAAAATGTTACTCAGGAAGAATGAAAATAAACTGATCTGTCCGAAAGCTAGAATAAGTTGTGTGGGTTTAACATAGCAACCGACACTATTAGTATATGTATTCAGAAACCGGTTATTTTATTGCAGACCGTCATTTGTTCGTCTTAACGACACTGGCAAATGATATTGCATCAAAAGTAGCATCAAGTTTGTTAGTGTAGTAATCTAATATTGTTATTTATCAAAACAAACGGTAATATTAAAAATACTACCGTTCATTCAAAAGAATTCTACAAGTGGGTTTCATTGGCGTTGAATGTTGAAAAATAGCCAAAAAGCTGGACATTATCTGTTGCATTTATTCAACATTTCAAATAACCAAGAATAGTAATCGTTACCTAAGGCTTATCCATTAACGGTAATTTTCATCATCAACATACGGTCTGAATTATTTATAACGGTTATTTTTTAGAAAAAAATTATACATAATGTCACGATACTTATAGGATAGTGTTAATTAGAATATGGTATAACGCAGGTATGTAGGCCAGTTAAAAGTAGTAAATGTGAGGTAATTTGGAAGCATCATTCATAAAGTTACTTTGCTTAAAAGGTAAGTACCGCCACGTCGAGTATATTTTCCTAAATGATTCATTACAATGTGAATGATAGAATTTAATCAAAATTAAGAACTAAAAGATATGATGTTAGCCATTACAAAGTGACTGATTAAAGTCAACACCTTAGTTCTCTATAGCGAATCAGCCTTAATCTATCTAAATCAATGGTAGCATTTCCCACAGTAATAATAGACGATACCAGTAAACCTTAGTGACAAGTTCTATGTGGTTAGTTACTGTTTGCCGCCTCAGATTACTTAACACTAAACCATATGAATAAACTTTATCAGTAATCAAATGGATAATTATTAACAATCTTTCACCAACTGCTTAAATTTTCAATTCTTTACACATAATAACTAATCCACTATAAACCAATATTTAGTGTACCAATTACTTGGCTAGGAAACTGTTTAGTTATTTTTATGAAACTTTACTATTGTTTAATATTCTATTTCGCCAGATTTTCACTTTAAAATAATTCAATGTTAAGAATTGTATAGTGTAGTGAAAGATTTATCAGACTGAAAAAAAGTAAATATCTGGTGTTAAAAACCTAATATTTTTTATTTATTTCACATTACACTTACACGGTAGAATATCACTAAAACGATTTAATCGTTTATTTATATTCTTTTGTCCAATTTCTTGACTCAACATATCTGATTGTATTAGAAATTGACTGTTACTGATTATTAACTAAACAATGAATATGAAAAGAAAATTTCTTTTGATGCAAATGCATAAATATTCACTAGAATAGCTATAATTCAGAATCCATGCCGAAACATATCCATACCCTGACGCTATATGCTGGTTGTCAACGCAGTAGGTTGAAACAAGCATGGAGGTAGACAAGCTAACACATGATATCAGCTAAAGAAATCCTTGGCTGTTAATTCAAGTTGTGTGGTAGAGATATATATGTCAAAGCTGAGATTTATGAAATAATCAAAATTAAGCTTCTGAGACCTTAAGTGACTAGTTAAAAAACCATTCACAATGATCCAGGTAGGTTCAGTTGTTGTCTCTTTTTGTAATACGGGCCTATTATTGTCAATTCATTAATTTCTTTCCTCGATGTTGTTAAATTCAAATTCCCACGCCGATAGATACCAGTGGTTCCTTTTTGTTTCTGATTGGCTGGGTCAATTGGATATATTAGTCTAAAACCAAACTATAGGTGGAAGACGTTGACAGATGCAGAGTATTAGTTGATGTTTGGTCTAATCACCCGAGGGACACAAGACATGAAAACGATCGAAGTTTGGCTCAATTATCCGTCAAAGACATCTGTATCTATGAGTCAGCTAGTGTGCATAAGTTTCCCAATAAAGCTTCTAATGTTGTCCCTCATCACATAATTAGCTGATTGAGCTCACATATAGGAAATCTATTTGTCAGTAGCAAAACAGACGACAACCCAACACAGATCTTTATTTTATTGATTTCCTAAAGCTAGACTCATCTGGAAATCTTCAACCTGGACTAATACATATTTGTGATAAATCCTACGTCATCTATGACTACCGCAATATTGAATAATGATGAATATTATCTTGTAGTATAGATAATGAAAATAAGCTTGATATATGTGTTTACGTGTAAAATGGTCGACTTTGGAATTGTCGAACAAAGAATAGCCATCTTGACTACTTAATGAATACTTAATACTTAATACTTAATAAATACGCTGCCTAGCATAACCTTGCAGTCCCACACACCCGTTACAACAATTGGCGACGGGGTAGAGAAAATTTTGAACCCTCTAATTGGACGAGATTCAGCATAATTATTTTGACCAATCAGTATCCAGATTTATCATTGGCGTCCTTGGGAATCATTGGTTGTTAATTGATTACAGTATTTCTCAAAAACCCTGCAGTCTCCCGTTACCCTGCTGACTCAGAAAATGACTAGCCTTCCCGATCAATTTCAGCTACTACTATATCGCCAGCAACAGCGTGTTTTGGACTATTTACGAACGCGACTGCTAGATCTCCCATGTTTCGGAGATGTGAAAGAAACTGATGAATTCATTTCTCACTTACAAACTGAACTCGAGAATGACTGCAGGACATATGAAGATAAAAACAAAAGCCTCCATGAATCCCTTATGATCAGTAATGCAAATGAGGCAGTCGCTCATAATCCGTCCAGCGATTCAGAAGTGCCCAATTCAGAAGCATGCCCTGTTGTGCGTTCAAATCCCACTGTGCCTGAAACATGTGAGGTATCCAGCTTACAAGAAGAACCTCTCGTGCCAGAAAATGTTTCCCGTGCATCAAATAATGGTCAGAAATCAAATACAAATTTCGAAGATGCTGTCTATTTTAGTGACCTATCCAGTGATGGAATTTTGACGAGGTCTGAAGAATATGTTGCACCAAAATCAACCCTTAATGACCTCATGTCTGGTGTCGCTAATCCTCATCATCTAGTCAGTTTCAGTGAACCCTCTACTCAATGCGCGAAATATGCTTTAAATAGACTCAGACTAACTGTTACTTGGGTATATGAGGACCCAACGTTATTTCGCGGGGGAGGACGGACGCAGAAAATTTTAAAACGCAGATATGAACTCCGCATCTTTCGAAAAAGGGGAGGTGTTAGGATAGTCGGAAAAAGAGACCAATAATTACCATGTTAAGTTCAATGGTGTCCTTGAACCTTAAATGTACATTTCTTATTGGTCGATGTTTATTTCACCTGTTAAATATTGTACAAATGTTGTTTCCTATTTTATGGTACGATGTGGTTTGTTTGCTTGGTATATAAATAGGGTATGTTTGAAATACAATGATTCATAACCCAGAGGCTGTGACTTGTGTTCTTCACTCAACTGGGCTAGGACGGACAGCGAAGCAGGGCCAATCAGGCACTAGGTCGTCCGTACGTGTTTTCCGTGTCACTGTCACAGATCGCGATCGATATATTAACGCTGCTTCTCAAAAACCCTGCAGTCACCCGCACCCGTTACAACAGTTTACATAGTTAAATAAACCACCTTCAGCGTTTCTGTCACAAATAAAGTTGCCGTGTAAAGATTTTGATCGAATTACAAAAGCCGAAGAATCTTTTAAAACCTAAAAGGTTTGAATATCATTTCAGTCCTAGTCTTGGATTTCTCAATAATGCATATTCACAACTTCACAGAGCAATCCTATTAAGCCTACTCAAGTCTCTTGGGTAACAGTATAGCAGTATGCAGTAGGAACCCAATAACGATACTGAAAAGAACATTTTCCCAGGTAAAATATTGTCAGTAACCCTTGTGAATGACGATGAATATTTCACCTTTTCTCCCTATCTGGTTTGTAGCCTTATACAATAGATTAGTGATTGAACAATTAAATATTAAACACTAAGTGGTAGGTTTAAATAAAAATCGATGTATGTTGAGTTAATCCACCGAATAGCAGCACTAATCTTTATTCATTTATCAGTAACCTAAAACTAAGTGGACAAATGTGTATGTGGACAATGAGTTGCATTACTCAAGAAATCAGTAATTATTCATTTTCCTTCCACTGATAGAATTGGGACAGATTTGTATATTTTCTCTATTTGAAGATTTGTTCACTATGAACTAGAAACTGGTACTGAATAATTAAAATTTTAAAAAAACCAATGAAACAATAACAAGAATAATGAAAATTTATTACGTACTTGATATTGTACTTTTAGTGTTGCGAATGAATCTTTTGAATAGTTTTCATATTGTGCCATAAACGTATGGGTTGTAACTGGTGTTGGCCTACACAAATGGTAGACCAAAAGATAAACAATATTTCTAAATTACCAGGAGAATTTGGTTTTAATCAACAGAACGAGCTGATAATTATCTTGGAAAGATAACTGACGAATAAATGGCTGATTGATGAATGATATTCAGTGATACAATACGATCAAGGAATTATTAACTATCTAGTTGGATTTATTAATTTAGTGCAATCACTTATAGTTATCGAACTATTATCGGTTAGTCAGTCGATTATAGAAAATGTAGGACCTGGCACGAATATGTACGGTCTAAGTTGCCACTATTCCAAGTGGAACGTCGTAAGATGAGGCTAAGAAGAGAGCATTATTTAGGTGTCTTCACCAAGGTTCGAACTAATAACTTCAAGTAAATTGAGTGTTGGGTAATTCGTTAATCATAAAAATAATCTAAGCCACTACTTCAGAAATTTATTTCTCTGAGAAAGTGAGTTATACAAAGTCACTGAAATTCAAAAATTTTACTTTTCATTGGGAAATTACAAATATATCATTACTATTATCATTCTCAACTTTGAGTCTTCGTTTCACCAAGGTGAAACGTCTTTTCACCAAATTCATATCCATAAATATGTTGAAATTCATTTGTAACATTTGATGCTGCAGTATTACGGTTTGTAAGGAGTGGGTGTGGTGAGTCTAATGAAATAAAATGAAATTACGTTATTCACCTAGTTGTTCTTCATCGTTTTCAACATACCAAACATGACTTAATAATGAACAACGTCAATTTAAAAGAAGAAAGCATGAAATGATACTAAACTCAAAGCATACAATAAGGTAACATCAAAGCTATTTGATTAAATAGATATTTCATGTAAAGTCAAATAATTGGAGAGTAATATTAATCATCCACTGGAATCTTCGTTAAATTTCATCCCTAGATAACCCTGCATAATCATCACTATATTTACTAATATAATTTTGTATAGAACACTGTATTTCAAAGGGAGTTAATTTTCAACATAAAATGATTTTACTTAGGGAACCATTGACATTACAAGGAAATAAAATAAATCGTTACTACTGATACTAGATGACAGTTATTCTGTATTGCAAATCAAATGAAATGATAAGTTTTGACGACTTAAAAATTAACTCAATTACTGAAAGACTCCATACCTATCACTAAATCTTAATTTTCAGATTCGATCCAATGTGAAGCGGTGGTTGTAAACTGCCAAATAGTCTTCAACTACAAAGAGACAATAGTCATATGATTTTTAATAGTACTACTGTGGTGTATTCTAATTATGCTGACAGATTTAAGTAGTATGTAGACGCAATCGGAGGATTGAAATGAACAGAGCTGAAAGGAAATCGGAGAGCTATCGGAATAACAACGGAAGTAGAGGGATAAAGGAGTATGTAAAGGAAAAGTCAAAGATGTGCAAATAATGTATTTAATATGTAGTGACTCACTTTTATCACGAGAACACGATTGGTTTAATGAAAGCAATTATTATTATAACCAATTGTACCAGTGACTGTTTTAATGTGCTTTTGTTTAACTGTGCTAAATAGCATCCATTATTCTTACACTTTGATTGTGACCTCGCGCGAATTCGGTTACGCTCTGTACCCAAGATTGTATCCTGGCACGATCTCGGTATTCTTTCCATACCACGAGATCGCCAGCAAATATATCTCGACTTGGTCCATTAACTGCCTTCTGATATTTGGCTTCCCGGGGATTTTATGGATTTCTTTGGCACGTGTTTCTTGGTAGCGGTGTTCATAGTCAATTTCGACTCGACGTCACGCAACAATTGGTGAGCCGAATTCTCGAACACGCCGCAACCTCTGGTCGAATCTTCCAAATAAGCCAATTTGGTGAGTCTATAGTTTATCTATCCACGTCTGTCGTATATTTTCATATTGCCTTTCAATATGTAATATACGCGACATGACGGATAACGATAAGAATAGTATTACTATAATAAACTCCCATGTACGTGTACCGAGTCCTTGTCACTTTTTATTCGCGTGACGGTAAATTCCAAGCTTTCTTCGAGAAATTTTCCCTTATTAACTATTCTCCTCGCTGACCCGACTTCTTGGTACGGAACGCATACGCATTACCGTCTACCACTCAGCACCAAATGGTTAAGTTGAACGGTTTCATTGACAACTTAAAAGTGCTCTACGAGCACACGAAAACAACAACTGGTACGAAGCCTTACCACTCGTTCTCTTAGGCATCAGAACGAGCTTGAACGCAGATATCCAATGTTCCGCCACTGAACTTGTATACGGCACGACATTGCATCTGCCCGGAGAATTCTTCACACCACGGAGCAGACCTGATTTCGGTAAGTCAGACTACGTCCAACGACTGTCTGCATTTGTGCGAACGCTGCCTCCGGTGTCAACTCGAACACAACATCGACAGGTCGCTCTCCATTGAGAGTTATCTACCTGTTCACATGTTTTCATACGAGTAGATTCGGTACGCAAACCTTTGCAACAATCTTACGAAGGCCCTTTTCATGTGATCGCTCGTCACGAAAAGACCTTCAAGGTTGATCGACATGGCCGCATCGAGATCGTCAGCATTGATCGTCTCAAACCAGCACACGTCGATGACAGTGCCCTATCTGACAACCTGAGATTCAATGCTAGACCTATCAAACCTACTAGCGGGATCCTTAAATCTTCAGATCCTACGCTAGATACACCTGAGACCTCATTCTCACGTCCCGGTCAACAGCACGCGTCATCTGCACCATCTACGGACGAGACGACAGTCTCACGTCCAGATCAGCAGACCACGTCGCCCTTGACTTCGGATGAGATTGCAGGCTCACGCGACGCGAACGAGACTACTGTCTCACGTTCCGGTCGCCGAGTACGGTTACCCGTACGCTTCCGCGATTAACCGCACAGTTAACAACCGATACGGTGTAGGACTATTCCTATGCTACATGCATGCCACACTCTTCTCTTTTTTGAGTTTTTTCCTATCCTGAGCCCACACCTCCGACCATCCCCGTCTGGTACCGTCGACTTTGGCGAAAGCTGGATTGGCTACCCACGCTCTTGTCAACGCACTCAGTCGATATTCTGGTTCCGAATGTTTAGCATACGCTTGGTCTCGAACTTGGTCGCGATGGTCGCTTCTGATTCCTCGGCTTAACGTGGTTTCGTCCAACGTCTGCAGCGTTTCTGGTCCGCATCCCTACGAACGCAATCTTCAGATTCTGGTAACAAACCACTCTGGTGTGGTATGCCAACTCGAGCAACAAATACAGCACATCGCCCCAGGTACCGTTCTCCGAAAAAGAATTTCGTTGGCAACTCGACGATCAACGATCGCTTTCCTGTTCCACCAATTCTTCCGTCCAACAATCGCTCGTCAGCCGATCAGTCCCACGATTTAAACCGCTTTTTATCGAAAGTGTAAACTCTTTCTAGCGGGGAGCTCCTGTAGTGACTCACTTTTATCACGAGAACACGATTGGTTTAATGAAAGCAATTATTATTATAACCAATTGTACCAGTGACTGTTTTAATGTGCTTTTGTTTAACTGTGCTAAATAGCATCCATTATTCTTACACTTTGATTGTGACCTCGCGCGAATTCGGTTACGCTCTGTACCCAAGATTGTATCCTGGCACGATCTCGGTATTCTTTCCATACCACGAGATCGCCAGCAAATATATCTCGACTTGGTCCATTAACTGCCTTCTGATATTTGGCTTCCCGGGGATTTTATGGATTTCTTTGGCACGTGTTTCTTGGTAGCGGTGTTCATAGTCAATTTCGACTCAACGCCATGCTACAAATATGTGATTTTCATATTTTACGAAGGCATTGAGTAATTTTGCATTGAACGGAAAATTGGTTTTCCTCACCAAGCCTTTGTTTAATATAGCAGGATATAATATTTTTCTTGCAAATGTATTATCGATAGATTATATACTAAAATTTATCGTTCACAACACCACAAGCAATGTCAGTTCAAGATAAAAATTACACTAAAAAATGTACAACTTCAAACTTTATTAATATGAACATAGTTTTATTTAAACCGGAGGTTAGTTTGATAAAACAAATAAGGTGCTGTCATAAGATAGGAAGTAGTAACTGACACTGTATTTTGAATTTATTCAGAAGATAGATCCGATGTATTAAACAAGTTAGTCATTGATTTTCTTTTTAAGACTTTATATTCTGCAATTGCTGATATCCAGGACTGAAGAGACCGGTTTTTGTCATACCAGTAGATTCTCGAGTGGATGCTACGATGCTGTTTAATTTTACAAACTGCTTATTTTCTACACAATAGATGGTAATGGGATCCAGATTATTACCTTCATTCCATTAGAGATACGTCATTTGGATGTACATGTCTTTCAATACTAATTCTCATATTTGAATACAAGACCTGAAGCAATCTATTGAAGTGATAGAGTCTTTTTAATTAGTCTTCTGAGTCACAAAAGGACAAATCAAAGGATTTGCTCAAGACGCCTGACGAGGACTGATGAAATAAATGTAAATACTAATAGTGAAAAAAAGGAAACATATCTAAGTATTAATCAATATTATACTCGTTGAGTTAGTTGGTTGCAACCGTGACTCATTAGCCTAGTGGATAAGTCATTATCGTCTGAAGGGATGGTAATGAGTTTTAAATCTAACTGTGAACATCAATACTAAGATTCAGGTAAATTTTACTGTCCAGTCAAATTGTATAAAAAGCTTGTCCAGGATATAATTAAGAGTTACTAACCTAAAAATTAATGATCATCCTAATTATTACTTTGCTCTTGGTCTAATACATGAAAGAGAAGTAAAAGTGCAAAACATATTCGAAATTCTAAGGAAAAACATACCCGTTATATGAATAGGTTTACAGTCCATTATCAGGACTTATTGTTTCTATGTTAATGATGCATTACATAAAACACGTTGAAGTTTTATAGACAAATGCTGATCCTTTATCAGCAGTATGATTGACTGAAGTAATTAGTAAATTCTAGCAATGATTATAACTACCAGTTAATATTTGATAAGAAAATGATCCATCTGGTACATTCAATCCGAAAAAAGTTTAACAGTTTAAGTTATCACTTGATCAGTAACGTCAATATTTCATTGAGTTTATAGATTTAAAACAAATTAGAAAGCGCTGATTGAATTTAAAACTTGAAAGAATATTAAGACATGGTTCGATCTTCTGTAAATATTGATTAACGTACATATATTTATATCCAGCTTACATACTGCGCATATCTTATGAGCTTAACTTCTTCACGATGATCCTGTACTAGCTAAATGATACTGTTTACAAATCATATGACCGTTATACACTATATATGTAAACCTAAGGTCAAGGTATTTTTAAGATATGAATATATTAAAAAGTAAATCCCATGAAGTTCCATAACCAAAAAAATAGTTGCATATGAACTTCAAAGAAGCTTATATTAGTTGGTTAAATTTATAAAACCGTATACTATCATAAACTTCATCAATAAAAAAAATAGGAGAAACTGTTTTTGGACAGTAGCTGGCAATATAATTCAGAACATGGTTTTCCTTCTATTTTGAAATACTTGTTTTTCAATTTTGATATGTCCCAGCGAAACTGGGTCTGACAGTAGTACTTACTATTCAAAATAAAGTTAGACAGTGTCATAACATTCGTTCAACAAGATCATCCAGAAATAGCGACTTATCGCTCCTATCTTGAATAACCATTAAGAGGCAATAAAACTTCAACTAATAATTATATATAACTTTAAAAGCATGGTTTATTGATTTACCCATGTACCAAGTACAGATTTATGTTATTTTATTTTATTTCAACACATAGATAATGGTACAAAGAGGCACCAAATACATATGCGACACACAAATCTCATTCAATATGAGTGAGGGCTGTGATACTGCCTGGGTGCCCAAACCGAAGCACGTGGTTTTCTTGGGGGGCCACTCCTCGAGCCTTCGACCTGAAGTTCTGATCCACAAGGCAGTGGAGCATCGTAAGGAGATGCAGTCCGATGAAAGCCAGTGACCAACAATTGGTTCATACGCCATTTGTTCCCGCAGGATACTGGAGCCCATGTGCAACATTGATTTGGTTTGGGATCCAGTTAAAGCGCCGGACATTCGCTTTTCGTCTTCTCATTTTCACAAACAACACCCCCGCCATGAGAAGACAGTGAGTAGGACTTCCCTGGCAGAGGCTATATACCCGCGGCCATGTGAGAGCATTTCGAGAGGGAGAGCGGACTCTCCCCACTCTCGGCCGTACCAGGGCATTTGGGGGCTATGTACTCAGCTTTGAGCCACACTAATTGTATAATGTATAGCAATACTACCCGGATGCTGATATCCGAGTAGGTGAACAGAGTTTCTAATCGGGGACCTACTAGTTGAAAGCTAAGTGCTTAAAGCAATGAGCTACTATCGCTCTATTTATGTAAAAGTATACAAACATCTAAAATGTCTATCTGAAACGGTGATAATATTATCTACTTCTAATGGAGATTTAAAAACTGAATATTAATTTGCACACAATTAGTTCAAAACTATTAATAATACTTGAATCTCTGCCCACTAGTCTTGTACATAATGAACAGATATAATTTAAAAACGTTAGACAAACAAACTGAAGTGTGGAAATAGTGGACGTTAACCAGTACCTAAATACGTACCCAACTTGAAAATATAATAAATACATATTTCAACCCCTAAATGTTGCCGATCATTGTATCTGTATTTTTTCCAACTATTTATAGATAAAGTATGATGAAGTTAGCGAACCTGAAATGGGATTTGCTTTTGAGATAACGATATCTGTCGAGAATTTTTTTAAAAGTGAAGCACCAAATAAATTTTGTATCTAGATAATGTATTTGACTTTATCTGTTTTCATTAAACACAAATGGCGTTGCACTAATAACATAAATGAAATATATTGAAAATAAATAAAATCTAGTAGACACATTTAAATGTTGAGACAATATTAATCCTGAAATTTGCGCCTAGATAAACATTTCATTGGTATTTCTTTCTTTTATGAAGAGTAGTTTATTACTTCATTGAGCTACACGTTTTAACCATGATAAATTACTATGAATAGCGAACGACAGATGTATACAAATTTATTACCGAATTTGATGTAGTACAATAGGATTACCACATGACATTGGATTTAGCGTTGGGTCTAACATTTTCAATAACAGCTCACATAATTTAAATCAATAATTATCATCAGTTTTTCTGATGTTTGCATAATCCATACTGACAATTATCACGTGCTCACTAGTGACCAGCTTCGAGAGGAAATTTACGGAGTCCCAGTGAGAAGCTATGATCAATGGAGCTAAGCGGTGTAGGGTGTAAGGAAGACATCCATGGAATAAAATGGAAGATGGTAGCGCAATATAATGGATTGATTGAAGTTAGACTTTTACAGCATGAGATCGCAGTCTGATGGTCTAGAACCTAAGGATTCGCGTACGAGGATGAAGGCCCTGGGTTCGATCCCAGGTTATAGGGTGATAAACACGCATTGTTGAGGGATATAATATTAGGAAGAAATGGTCATCCATTCGTTTCAGGCTTTCAACAGCTGTTTAACTTTGATCACTTCACGATTTCAATAAAATTCAACCATTTCCATAACCCATACTGTGAACTATGTTTACCGGTTAAAAACACGAAAATATTAAGATTAAAGAATTATGGTATAACTTTGCTTACCATTTCATAGATGTACATAAATTTGGAAGGTGGGTTCTGAACAGAAATAGTACAAACAAAAAAATTGTCAATAACAAGGCATATTAATTAACAGCATAAGTTTTTCCTATCAATATAATCAGTGATGGTGATATGTAAAAATTTAATTCTCAACCAATAATAAAATTATTTACCAATGACGTATTATCTTTTTTATTTCGTAGTAAGTAATGTATCGTGAAGTAAATAAAAAAATTATATTATTCATCAAATTAGACACCAGCGAAACCGTTTTCTACGATATCATTTTCTTAGGCTGCTCAATCGTATTCCGAGATACTTTTTATAGGTAGTATTTAATAGTAAAATAGAGGAGTGTTACACATATAAAAAATAAACGAACTTCGGTAAGGGGTTGCAGAGACTGATGAATTTCACTGAAACCATAAACCATCTAATTTAGACCACCACTGAAAACCTGGAAGCACTGGACAGCCATTTGGTCCTAGTTTGGGGATCATCAGCAGTGCATATTCACGATTCCGCATGGGAGACTCCAGCCCAGAGTGTCCACTAAATTTCATTCAAACCACCATCAATTGTTTATTCTGAGTACATTATTGAGGACAGAGAATGAGATTGAAGTTCTCCTTTTATCCAGCGGCATTCAACTGTGTAAGTTCGTATACTACCGTTTAACTATCTTCGAGAATTTTTGAAACACTTTATAAACAGGATGTACTATACGGCTCAGTGGTCTAAAGGTTAGGCGTTCACACTCGCTACAATATGTCTAGGGTCCGATCAACGGTGGTTCGTGGATGCACATTACTCAAAAGGTCGAAATTAGGATAAAACTGCCATCTATTTCTAGAACTAATCTCCATAAAAGCCCTATATTAATAAGAATAATATTTATCAAATGGCAGAGGATTAATTAAAGTACAAGTTCATATAGGTAAGTAACAGTCCTTGTAATACTAACGTAATACTAAGTTGCAAATTAATGGATGTGCGATTTAAATATAGAGTCATATTAGAACCTGACAGAAAGAATTTGATTATCTTTCAACATCACATAGAAAGACCATAGTAATTACCCAGTGATTATTAAACGCTGAGACCACAATTTTCGAAGGACATACGAGCGACGCTCAAATGACATTAGGTGTCCAACTACTTATTAGGGCTACAGCAAGGTTACATATCACTGTGAGGAATTGTACGATTGATGTTTAAGGTTCGAAATTAGATTAAACGTATTCATCACGAAATGGCATCCACTAAAATACCAAAATACTATTTGGCCAAATGGATGATTAAATTTCACGAAAAAATCGACCCATTATCTTAAATCTGATGGGTTCGGCCATAAATCATAATCTTGCCTAATTAACCGAAAAAATCTTAGCTTTACGAGATTAGCTGCACCCTGAATACTTTGGTAAAAATGTCGTTGACTATGATGTTGAGCGATAGTGATACTTATTCCATGGAAAAACACTTACTTGAGTACCGTAGATGCGGTTTAAATCTATAAAAACTGCTTTGACGTGACTGAGCACGTCCAAGTATTAAGTATTTCTGATTTCATCTTAAAATGCAACGCAGAATTTATCACCTCAATGTAAACTGATTGTTTGAGTGTTTCCAAAATTACTCAAATAAATAACAATCTATCACTCATGAGTAGTACATCTGACATTAATAAACCATATATTCAATATTTTATTAGTAGAGATGGTTTAACTAAAGATACACCAACGATGTAAAAATTATTATCCTGTACATTAGCTATTAAGGTTGTATAATTATCACTTTATTGAATCAATGTACTGAGTGTTATATGCATACATTTTAGAATTCCACACTGCATATGATGAATAGATTAGATATATCTTAACTCAAATTACAAAATAATTAAACTGACCAAAGAGGACAATTGATAATAATCATCGTATTAAATTTAAACAGCTACACCCAGTGTTCGCTTTGATGGTTTATGTAGAAAATTTTATCATAAAAATAGTTTTTGTTACAGACTAGAATTAACTGTGGCATTAATGAGAAACACAGACCACTGGTTATTTTGCTTTGGCTAGGGACTGCTAAACAATGTGAATTTACCAACCTACAGATTTTCTGATTTCGTAGTGCGTATGATACTCTAAGGCGACTTTGTAACGATTCAATGGTCCAGTTTTTAATCCAGTGTAGAGTTGTGAGTACAAGCTAGAATGGAACATCTATCTGATGTACTCTGGTTCTCATTAATGCTTCAAGTGACGCCGATCTTCTATCTTTGAATCGAAAATATTTTCGGAAAATGCATAAATATAGTTATGAAATGATTATTTTTCTTTCGTTTATTTAAGAAAAAATAACAAAACTAACCGATCCATTATCTTCTGTGAATAAATATCTTCATTAATTATTGATTTATTATTGATTTTTCCCCTTGCGATATTATTATAAATATCATTATTCTTGGGGATAGTGCTTCTTTCAATAAGACGATAATATAATAAACCGAATGAGGATATAGCCAATATGAACAATGACCACAAGATACAACATGTGATCAAAATGATAGTAGCTAATAAGTAATACCATACATTTGAAATGGAAAAAAAGTTTATGAGGAAATAGATCAATAGTTAAAGTTTAACTATATAGTACCAAATATTTTTTTTATTATAATGAACAATAAACCATACCACTGATTCTGTATCAACGATGGGAATGGTTTTTGTAGCTTAATAGTATTGTCAGAGACATTTAAGTTAAATAATTGTTATAATTAGGGCAATATGAATCTAGTTGCGTTACTAATAAGTTTTCAATTGGTCACACTTTTGAACATCAAACACAACATGTTGTGACATGTGTTGATGAAATAACTGGTGGAAAGATTAATTAACGAGCTTATACGACATGTACACACTATTATATCTGTTGTCTTATTTGTTTCACTACGTTATATAAAATATATTCAAGACTATGTAAGTAGCTGTATGGTAATAAGATTAAGAAGTAGATTATTGAAAATGGTTTTAATTGTGACAATTGGGTGATCAAGGTCTGATCTCCAAGATACACATAACCTTTCTTACGATTGAGGATAAATTTTGCTTACGAATGCCAAATGTCGTAAAAAGCTGATAAATGTGTCTGTCTGTTTTCTGCTTACTTCGCCAACATATTTCACTCAATATATTTTACAGTGTAACAACGAATTAACGTACTTATAAAGTGATTATTTTATTACTGATATACAAACGTACTGTCAGACAGTGTACGTCCATGGATTATTTTCGACGTGGTATATCCATATTTCGTGTAAGTACGTAATTGTATACTAACAAAAGAAAAGAAAAGAATTAAATATGTATGAGATGAGTCGTATACAAACTATTGATGATAGCCAAGAAGCAAAGAACAGTTTGTTTCTCTTGATTTAGGACCTCTTAACAAAATTTATTGATAAGTACACAAGAAATTGAACAAAATGCCGTCAAATACGCAAGTAAGCAAACAAATAAAAATCATAATTTCGTCAATACAAAGGATTGAATTATCTGGCTACCTGTCAAAATTGAATTGTTGTTTATGAAATGTAGTTTAGCTGTGGACATGGTCCTCCTGTGTTGTTTGCCTAGACGAAGAAAGAGTTGACAGATGATGTCAAATAGATTTTAAACTTTTGCTGAAATTATGAGAAATACTACCCATAAACAAATTTTTGATATGGACTGTGCTCACGCAGAAATATCAATACTGAATATTACCTCAAGTTTGAAAATTTAACATAACAAGGCCAGAAATTCAAGAACGACTTCTTGTTACAGGGAACATTATTTGATTAGTTGTCCACGAGCTCAGATATTATTACACTTGTTTCTAGACGGGATATGCCAAAGTCTTGATACACACAGGAGTTTCCTTTGCGAAATAACAGTCAATTAAACTGCAGCCATAATTCATAATAAAGTTAAACGACTTTACTTGTGATGTTAGGAATTATATTTAGTAAACTATTCGCTGGACGTTGACTGCTTTTCTTTATGTTTGCAGCAATACGGAGAGATAGACCTGTATAGCTGATGGGAATAGGCGCTTGTAATATTTTAATCTCCAATACTTTTGGGTTTCGTAATGCAAGTGTATAATGCAATCCTTTTGCAGTCAACCGTCCCTGCTTTCCCTCAGGTGCCGAGGTCTTCATAATCCAGTCGACCACCAGAAGAAAGAGGGAGAGTAAGCAGCCTTGTCTGACTGCGGTCCTCACTTGGAATGCGTTTGTCAGCTGTCTTCCATGCACGACTTTGTCGTGAGGTCTGTCGTATGAATTTTGGATGATGTTGACTATCTTCTCAGGTACACCATAGTCTCGAACAACTTTCTATAAGGTTCTCCTATCCACACTGTTAAACGCCTTCTCATAGTCCATGAAGTTGATGTATAGTGACGAGTTCCACTGAATTGATTGTTCAACGATGATCCTTAGTGTTGCGATTTGGTCTGTGCACGACCAGCCCTTACGGAATACAACCTGTGGATCTCGAAGTTGGGCGTCTACTGAATCGCTCATCCAGTTCAGTAACACTATTTTTTCTGGTGCCGACAGTAGCGTGATGCATCTGTGGTTTCCATATTTGTCCAGATCTCCTTTCTTTTCTTCCTTGATGAGATATTCTTCTTTCCAGTCTATCAGCACTTGTTCCTCCTCCAAGTCTTCCTGAATAGAATGTGGGGCATCTGTGCAGTGGCTTCTGTCTGAATTCAGTGCTTCAGCTGGTATGTTGTCAGGTTCTGCTGCTTTCCCACTCTCGATTTGTATGATGGTCATCCTGATTCTTTCGATCGTTGGTGGAGTGACATTGATAGGAATGTCTGTAGGTGCTGCTTTGATATCCGGTAGATCCAATGGAACTAACCTATTTAAGAGTTCCTCAGTGTTCTACCCATCTGTTTCTGTGTTCTTGAATCTCATTGATTGTCTTGATTTCTTCGTCTTTGACTGGTCTCTATGGTTTACTATATTTCCGTGCCAGTTTCTTCGTTATATCATATGGCTGTCTGATATTTCCATCTCTTGCGGCTTTTTTCGTTGTCCTTGCTAGGTTTTCCATGTATTTCTGCTTGTCAGCTCGAATTTACTTCTTCACTTGCTTGTTTGCTTCTGCGTGGGCCTTGAATTTCTCTGCTCGCGATCGACTACTGTTTGCTGCTGCCTTCTTGAATCTTATCCAAGGTTTCCATAGAGATATATTCCTTATCAAAATAGTTCTTGCGACCCAGAACCTTCTGACATGTTGAATTTAGTCCTACGATTTTCCATATTATTATTTTTTCTATATATGACTGTAAATGGTTGAAACGAAGACTAAAGGTATATTTCAAGTTATCAAAATACTTCTTGCGATCCAGAATCTCCTGACATGTTTAAGTTATTGCTCCTTTGATACCATCCCAATTGTCCTTTATTGTAGTTTCTTCTTCCTTCAGTCGATCCTGTTGTTGAGGACTAACCTGAATTCGATGAGTTTGTCAGTATCTCGTAGGTAGGTTATGTTGAAACTTTCTACTGCTGTTCCTTCAGTTGATAGTTCTTCTTTAGTTCCAGTTCCATCTTGGCAACCACCAGGTGGTGATCTGAAGCTATATCGGTTCCTCTCCTGGTCATCAAGTCTTCCATAAATACAAACGTGATCGATCTGATTCTCTGTGGTGTGATCCGGTAAGACCCATGTAGCTTTATGAGAGAATATTGTACCATTTACAACCAATTTATTGAATGCACATAGGTTTGGAAATCTCCCACCATTCTCGTTTCGCTCTCCTAGTCCATGTCATCCCATGGTATCTTCGTATCCCATGTTTTCCATTCCGAATTTGGCGTTCAGGTCTCCATTCAGGATGGTCATATCTTTTGCTGGGCACTTCGCTATGATCGATTGCAGCCTCTCATAGAACTGTCCTTTATCGTCGTCGTTGTTATAATTGGTTGATGCATAACATTGGATAACATTCCTTGTGATTCCTTTCTTCTTTGTTTTGAATGATGTTTCGATGATCCTGGATCCGTGAAATATCCATCCAATAAGTGCTTTACGTGCCTCTTTGGACAGCATCAGAGCAACTGCCTTAGTGTGTAGAGGATTTTTTCTTCGTGATCGGAGTACATTAGCCTCTCTCCCGTATCTAGCTTTCGCTGTCCAGCTTGGTTCCGATAGTTTTCCCTGATTACGAGAAACCCCAAATTGCATCTCCTCATATCAATTGCTGTTTGACTGATCCTCCCGGTCTTCCACATTGTCGGGACATTCCGTGTACCTATATTAATTGTTGCTCTGGTTGTCAGAAGGGTGATCGGCCTCGTGACTTCCGAAGAATATCGGCTTTCATCATGAGGGTTCATAATTCTTCTGAATGAAGATCCTTCAACTCCCACGGCAGAGTTTAAATTGTTTATTTTGGTTGTTGTTTGTTTAGCAAGGTTGTTTACTACGAGATGGGGTTGCAGACCCTATTCCCAACCCTCTTCATTTACCTGGGTTTGCGACCGGCAGTAACTATAGAAGGGCTCCAGGTGGAGTTTCTTAGTGTTATGACGGTTAGCGTTTGATAATTGACACTCGCAGTAGGATTTGATTCTACCGGCACTCGAAACTAGATAACATACCATTGGTTACTATGTGGTGACTGAATATTATGTTATATATATCAGTAGTTACAGCACTACAATATATGTGCTGAATTGTAAATGATTGCACGTTAAACAAATGCGGAAAACGTTTTTAAAATGTAGTCGTACAAATCATATAGGGACATCATGTAATCGATTGCTAATATATGTAGTTTTGAATAAATGAATGTATAAAATGTTTCATTGATAGTTCCTAAAAATAGACCATGTGAAAGCTTATTGTGAAGGAAGCAACTTAAATAATCGATAGATAATATATTTGTAATATTCTAACAAGTAGGAAAATTAGATTTTCTGACGTTTGGTGACTCAGTGTAAGCCAGTTCTTCAGAGAATAAATAACCAAATCAAAATTTATTTAAGTTTAAATAGTAAAACGGAACAATAAGAATCTCTAGCATAAAATTGAATAAGATGTAACTAGCCAGATATTTTGGAATTTAATGTTTAATTAAGATAATTTCGAATAAATTGAGCATTGGGTTGATTGTTATAAATAAAAATAATATATTTGTAATATCCCAATGAGTAGAAAATTGGATTTTTTGACGTTTCGTGACTTAGTGTAAGTCACTTCTTCAGAGAATAAATAACCAAATTAAAATTAATCCAATATTACAAATATATTATTTTTGTTTAATTAAGAGTCTAACATATTAACCGGTATTTTATCTTGTATTAGCTAATTAGAGTAAAATGGACACACTTACCTGAACTAAGGTTTGACAAGACGTAAACTATTCTTAGGTTTTTTGTGAACCACTAATAAAATCTTTATAGTTGTGATAACTTTACTGTATACTACTACCGATTTAAAATGGGTATAAATCATACAACTTCGATAAAGATTTCTGTTGGCCAAATACTTTTATATTTAACGATAAATATATTAGACGAAGGGATACTGTATAACACTTTTATAGAAATCAAAATTAATGACACTGACGTCGCTCTTCCCGTTTTTTGCTGATAATTAAAAACTAGGATGAAAAGAATAAATCCTATTTTGCCGTGCTTTATTTCAACTAAATAATAATATTTGTTCAGTCATGTAGTTGGTTCTAAGCAATACCTGTTTCATTACTGCACAACTCATTTATATGTTTTGGTGTAAATATGCAAGACGAAAAAACGCGAAATGGTGATATCTAAGTACAAACGTTTTGAAACCATGCTTAATTTTTAGTAGAATTAAAACACAGCGTTTTTGTTCCTTGTTAGGTCCAAATACACCGGTCAATCTATCTATCAGCCATATATCACCGAACAAACTGACCTTACACTGGCAAAATCCACCACAACATCCAGCCTTTGATGTTCACTGTTTTTGGGTGTACAAACGTGAATCGATCCATCTGATGAGTGGGTTGGACGAGTACAGAATTTGTGATGTTTCGAATGAACTTATTTTGACATCACTGATACCGGGAAGACAATACACTTTGTATATGAGATCTGAGGATTCTGTGTATGGATTACATAGTGATGTGTCTAATGCTATAAGTGCAACAACCTATCCATCAAGTAGGTCTTTTTCATACATCATTTTAAATGGTTTTTGCTATATCCGGACGAGAATAAATGAATGGTAATTATTTATGGACTAATATTATACGAATATTATTATTGCATGACTATTAAGTAACTAC